GGTATAAATTAAAATTTTTAATCTTTGAGAGTAAAAATTGAAATTCAAACTATGCAATTTTTTTAAGATGTGAAAAAAAAAATAGAGTAAATCAGTGGCCTTAGACGCAAATGCCGGCTCTATTTAATTTTCTTGTAGTGATCCGTGCTTGTGTCTGTGCCTCTTAGCATCAAATAAATCTACGTGGCCAACAAGCATGATTCGTGCAATATCTTAGAATTAAGCTACTAAATTCTCTTGCTGGCAATCATATGATTTTCCATTAATGAAGGTTTTAAAACCAAAACAAAGAGAGATATATATATATATATATATGCATGAATGATTGAAGAGTTTTGAAAAAACTACCTCACATATCATCTGTGGAAGGCCCTTTCTTTGAATCCCGACACTCCTTCTTATATGGAGGGTAGACAAGGATATTGAGTGAATCATTTCCCATGTTGAATTGCTCTTCTTGAATTTGCCTGGCCGAAATTGCAGCAGACCGACTTGAACGATACACCTCAATCATCTGTAGCGTTGGTATATCACCTAAGCTAGAGGGTATCTCCTCAAGATCATAGCATTTATCCAACACTAATCGCTCCAGAGTGGGAAAATGACTACTGGAGGTGACCCATTGTTGAAGATCCATCTCTGAAAGTTTCAAGAATTTGAGTCGACGGAACTCCCCATCACTGGTCTCCCACAGTGGCCCTTTGAAGGAATCACGGCCTAATTTCAGCACCTCGAGGTTAGGTAACTTCCCAATGTTTGAGATTTGCTTCCAACAAATATTGCAACCTGTTATAGATAGCTTCTTCAGATTTGGAGGAAATTTACTTGGTTGGGGAACGGTTGGTGGTGCTGCAAACCCAGCAGTGTCTTCCAACTTCAATGTTTCAAGGTGAACTAAATTGGCGAGATCAGGGAGACAAAAACTCTGGCAGTCAGGACTTCGATAATATGGTGCACCTTGAAGTAAATTGGCTAGAGAAGAGTTCCACGTATTCCGCCAGTGGGGTGTTCGTCGATAATAATCTGATGCCAAAGAGATAAAGTAGGAAATCTCGGCTAGATCAGGAAAGATGGGTTTTCCCCCGTCGGATGGACCTCGATCGAATGACAACTTCCTAAGATTGGGAACCCTTTCCAAGACATCTTCAGCATCCTTCATTGAATCAGAAAGTCGTAATGCGTGAATACTTTGCAAGGCATTCAATACAGGGGGATAGACATAATTGGAACAAGGTTTTTCGAATTCTATCTCTGAAATACTTATATGCCTCAACTTCACCATACTCCAAAGAGTATGCGGTATAGTGACTCTCCCATACTCCTCTTTCAAAATAACTAGGGTTTCTAAGTTCCGTAAATTGGATACTTTTAAAGGCAGCCTGTCAAGGAGGCGAACCCGAAGTTCCAAACACCTCAAATGGACTAGCACCAATATTTCAACTGGAAAGCTTTCCAGATAAACACGCCATAAACTTAACACTCTAAGAAGCTTATAAATATATGCTGTGGTAGTCACCTTAGGACCTAAAAACCCTTCTAAGAAACATGAGAAGAGAGAGCGGACTGTTGGAGCACAATGCTGCCCAAAACTGTTATGCAAACCATGAGAATGAAAGCACAAGTGGCAGTCATTATGTGAGATAGCACAACGAAACGAAGTAACTCGTCCATGCCAGTCAATCTGCTGCAGCCATTTCTTTTCCTCGGCTTTTTTCAAGCATAGATCATGCAAGGTATCATGGATGCGACATGACTTGATTCCACCTTTAGAACTTTTCTTGGCAACTATTACCAAACTTCTATCTATTAGATCCATCAAGTAATCCATCGCTACATCCTCCAAGCTTCTTTGCTCCATTTCCTTCACAAATCCTTGAGCAATCCACAACAATATCAACCTCGGGACAGGGATTTCAAAGTCTTCATGAAATGTTCCAAAATAGAGAAAGCATGACTTCAAGCATTGAGGTAAGTGCTCGTAGCTCATTGCTAGTATGTTCATAAGTCCATATTCACGATTGACATATGAAGCTAAATTTCTGGCAACTGACTTCCACCAGTCCGGTGTTTTATGTGTCTTTGCAAGAAGTCCAGCTACAACAACAATTGCAAGGGGTAATCCTTGACATTTTGCAGCGATTTGCTTTCCAATTTCCAGCAACTCCGAAGGGCAGTTTTTTTCTCGAAATACCGTCCGTTCCAATAGATCCCAACTCCCATCTTCAGTCAAAAATTGTAGAAAAAGAGGAGTGCTATCAGGTTTAATTTGCCAAGCCAATTTACCATTCCGGGTCGTGATCATAATTCTACTTCCATTATTGTCGTTTGGAAAAGATCTTCTTAAATCATTCCAAGCTTCAATATTCCACATGTCATCTAGGACAATAAGGTATCTCTTACCCTTTAAGCGTCTATATAGCTCTTCTCCTAATCCTTCTTCACTCATTTTTAAAATTTCATCTTTACTGTCGACAACATAACTTAGAATATCAAGCAACATATCCTTCTTATGATGCACTTGTGCCTCATATGTCCATCCACGAACATAGAAATGATATGTGATCAAAGGATGATTGTAAAGTTTGTGAGCCAAAGTTGTCTTACCGATTCCGGCCATCCCCACAATCGAGATAACTTCCAGTTGCTTCTGATCTCCGGCAAGTCTCTCCAACATCGCCGTTATCTCATTGTCAAAGCCCACCACAATTTCATCTTCCGCTACTGTATTGGTTGTACTCCCTCTATAAAAACTTTCAGTGGTGGAGATTACTCCTAGTTGCGAGACTCCAACCCCATACAACTTCTTCATATAAATCACCATCACCTCTTTCTTGATAGACTTGATCTCTTCTCTGAAATTTCTAAGCTTTGGGAAATGGTCAAAAACACCATTAGTTTGCCCAGAAATGGTTTTATACTTCCCATTGATGACACTGAGAGCAAAATAATCCAGGTAATTTAATGCATCGCAAGCTGTATCTTTAATTCTTGCCACTAAATTTGCCAATACCTCATGCTGATTGCAACTCTGCAAATCACAGAGGAAACTCCTTATGAACTCGAGCTCTTCATAAAGGGTTTCGATTGCATCCTTTTCAGCAAGAACGCTATTAGAGCTATGGTCGAGTAGCTGCTTCAGGTCCTCCAACAGAAATTCAACAACAGTTTGAGCCATCTTCTCTACTCGCAAGCTCTCTAACTGGTTGTTTTTTTTTGCGCAAGAGAAAAACTTTCCTTGATAGTTAGACTTACCCAATGACTGCAACAGTAATCTACATTGTGAAGAGAATAAAATTGTGGTCCACCAGTACACTGCATCATCAAGCTGACCCGTCAATAATCATGAAAGTTGATGTCAATTACCTACCGCACCATGAAAATAGACCCACAAAATTGCCATAGAAATCTCCTATTTTATCTCTTCCAGCGTTAAGTTATTCCAAAAGAGGTGGGAAGAGAAGTGAAAGTGAAATCAAAAGTTAAAGGGAGTTTTCTTGACGGAAAGCTGCATTCTTTGTCCTTCCCAGAATCATCCCTGGCAGACTAGAATTTACATATGAATACTTTAATTTCGGGTGAATCAAATTAAGTTACGGATAAATTGGTTCGAATATATTTTATTGTTAAAAAAGATAAAAAATAATAACTTATAAAAATATATAATGGAATTAATTTTTTTTTTGGTCGGTATGAAATTGAACTTGTTAAGAAATACAAGAGAAATGTTAAAATTAAAATTTTATTTTAGTGCATTATTTCGGTCACTTAATAAACGAAAATATTTCGACGTATTTCGGAAAAGATTACAGAAACAAATTAAAAAAAAATAAAAATTTAATTTTCAAAATATTTATAAAATATTATGAAACACTTCAAAATATTAGTGTTTTGATTCCACCACCTATTTGTTTCGATTTTCTTGAAAACAAAAACGTTTCATACATTTAGAAATAAAATTTAATCTTTGAAGAAAGGTTAACAAAGATTTTATGATATTACCCAAGGGTAACACTAACCTAACCATACACTTAATTCATTGTGATTATTGAATTGGTAATAAATTTTAATAGTAGATGAAATTTATTTTTAATCCAATAACTGTTATTAATTAGGTGCTATAATTAATTAAATTTTCAAATTAAATATAAATAGCATTTTTATTATTTTATCTTTATAATTGAATAGCTAAATAAATATCAAGTAAGGAACCAAAATTTTATCAATAATTACGATTGCTCGGGGTTGAATAATTTGTCAAATGCTACTTAAGGGTCATCCCAACCTGGGACCCTAAAGTATAGGTATCTAAATTTCTAAAGGTGAACAATTCCCTAGCCTTTTTTATAATCTAAACGACTCCTAAAACCACCTATTGGAGATCAAATTTTTTATTTTAAGGTTAAAATTTTGAATCTTAAAATTCATATTAAAACTCGATAATTGACCGTTTTACTAACTTAACTAGATTTGTTCCCAAAAAAAATACCGAACGCGATCAAGAGCTTTATAATCCCACCAATGAAAGTCGATCAGAATAATATCTGGGCATCCTCTTTTACCCGCACCTCTTTTTTAACCATCAAAAAAAATAAATAAATAAATAAAATACTCCCAAAAAAGGTAAGGAAGAAGACATTTGAATGACCAACCACTATGCATTTGCAAGAAAATATTACTGTTGACATCTAAAAAATTAACATAATTTATTGATATAATAATATATCAAATAATAGAATATCAATAAAAAAAAAATACAAAAATAACGGTCACAACAATATTATTAAAACACGGAAATAAGAAAGTTGATTTATGAAATGGGAGGGATCGGGCATTCAAAACCCATTGCTAGCAATCGAATTGATAAACAACAATAGCAACTCAATAAAATTAAACATTACAAAGCCAATTATTTATTTTCCCAAGCTAAAGCTCTCGCTCATAACACAAACAATTATCAAAATTGGGTACCATATGAAAATGCAGTTATACAAGAAGCCAGACTACAACTTAAGGAAAACAAACTCCTCTATGGCAGGAATTTCCCCAATCTTCTTCAAAGTCTCCTTGCTGGGTGGGTCATCTACTCCAATAGCCATCACAGCTTGGTTTCGTGGAGCAATCCTTCCAACACTCATAAAGCTTACATTAACACCGTCCTCGCCCAGAATGCTCCCCACTTTCCCAATCATACCGGGCTGATCAACCTGCCTACAGAGGATAATACTTCCTTCCAAGCTCACATCCACGTCAAAAGATCCAACCTTTGTCAAATGTGGTACCCCATCTTTCACCCGTCCCTCTACCTTGATCTCCCCAAGCTCTGAAATGGAACTGGCAAATCTTGATTCCACATTGGCAATCTGAACCTGGATGAACTCGAGTGGACTTTCTGGTGAGCCATCTAGAAGGATTCGTTCTTCAGATATTCGGAGTCCTCTCTGCTTAGCGGTGAAATCTGCGTTCACCAAGTTCACAAAGACACAGGATATAGGCTCGATCAGACCCTTTGTGATCATGGCACGAAGCAATCTTGTGTCGAGATCATCAGGAGCTCTAGCAGAACCATATGTCACTTTTATGGATTTCACACCACTTCCACCTGCTACTAACTGGACAGCAAGTCTGCCAAGCTTTTCAGCAAGGACAACAAATGGTTTCAGCTCCATCAGAACCTGCAGCAGACAAGTAAATCTAAAATCAGAACTCATGCTTTTCCTGCATTCTGACCTCTTCATGTATGAGGTTTCTGACTTCAATGAACACCTAAATCCAGCCGTACAACAAAATACACCGTATACTTTACATATGGACAACTAACCCAGATAGCTGACTAAGATAT